GCTGCTGAGCCATGGAGGATAGAGTAGGAAAAGAGCACAGAGTAGAGTACAGTAGCATTGCCTTGCAATAGAATAGGACAAGTGACAATGGGACAATACAATACACGAGCATAGGATAGGCCACGATACTATACAAACATTATATGATACAAAGTAATACTACACCATATGATATGATACTATAAGATACCGTACAATACAATATGATACTATATGATGCATGGTATGATTGGATATGTAAATTAAAAACTCAAAAATGGTGAAAATGACACAAAATGCTGGAATAACTGAAACAATATGTAAATACAAACATATGTAACTCAAATGAACCATAAAGTGTTTAACATCTTTTCTCGATGACACATTTTCTAAGTTATGCCACGATCAGGGAGATTTATTTTAAGTGCAGTATTGTAGCAGCAGTCCTACGTTGCAGTAAATTTTGCAGGACAGGTGGAATTCCTTCCCATAATTAGACCAGCAAAAAACAGCAAATGTCCAACGAAGTAACCAAAAGAAAAAGACTGCTCAGTTTGTACAATCACATGTACAATTCAGGAACTCACTTTATCTTTGTAGTACAGACAAAGCCAAACTGCAATAATCAGTGTTATTACAGTGTCTAATATACCACAGTACACACTATGACAAAAGAAAAAAACATGTAAAGCCATAAGAAATAAATCAAAACAACATCTGGGTACACACACCGTGTACAGCATACCTACGGTGATTTATGAAGTGTGTTCCCTTGGAGTCATGTTAACCTACATTCTTCTTGCACACACACACACACACACACACACACACACACACAGACAAACACAGTCTCATGTGCACTACGGCCTTGTTACACAACATCACAAAAATGAAAGCAGGGATGCTTCTCACTGTTGCTGATAGATTACCTAACCCAACTTTTCAAGTCTCAGCAAGCTCGTGGTCAGAGCGTGCTGCGTTAGCACTCTTTAATAACGGCTGTAAAAGGGCCGCGGCACGCTGTTCACAGCATATAATCTGCAGTGCAGTCGGACCTGCTATCTATTTCTGCATAAAAGAGATGAAATGACAGACTTCCTCCTCATAATAAACTCCATGCATATATTACATCAGGATACAAGGTATGGCTGTGAGGTTTTTCTAATCACAATATGACAGTATGATTATCAGTCTGTATTGGATTCTGGGTAATGCTTTTTTTCCCCATCATGTCTGAGAATAAACTACATTAAATTGTATTCATGTGTGTGAATCAAAAATGTACTGCATACAGTGGAACTGGGGAAATTGAGTTACGGTTGAAGCGGATTCAAGCTCAACACTTTCAGTTTAAATTATTCCACTATAATTTTCGGTTAACATTCGCCACATTCTTGCTACCTTTTGGTGCTACACCAACACTTTGGCTATGGTTTGGTGAGACTTTTGTTAATTACTCAACCGTCGCTTTTATGTCTATGCTCTAACTTTTGAGGTTCAACTCATCTCTAAGTGTTTTTAATCTTTTTTGGCTAACTTCAATGCATGTTTGGCTAATCTATAGCTATTTTCCAAAATCCATCATAATATTTAATTTAAAGTTATTATTTACTCATTTCTGATTAACTATTTCTAGCTTTTTTGGCTGTCTTTCAGTTATATTTGATATAATTTCTGGTTAACATTTGGCTAGTTCAGTGTTTATTTTGATAACCTTTTGGATTATTTCTAGCTTTCTTGGCTGTCTTTCAGTTATATTTGATATCTTTTTGATAAGCTTAGCAATTTAATTAGTGTTTGACCAAACAACTTTGAAGTTGGCCGCCCTATACCATTTTCTGAACTACATTTTCATTACCAAATAGGTTTCAATATGAATGTCAAAGTCATAAATCCAATCCTAACGAATTTGACAAATAGAGGACTTGGTTCCTGTTTAGATAATTATAAAATGGCACAAATAGTTTGGGTTTTTTTTTTTCCTGGTGGTTGAAGCATCACTTATTGACTTATCTCTGGAGGCACACTCCTCAGCCTGAGCCGTCTAAAGTGACGGCAGCCAGACAGATGGGGCGAACTCTGAGTGCTGTCCCATAAATCCATTTCATTTGAAGCACTTGTGTGTGATGAGATGACAGTTTGAGGTGAGCGTGTGCAACTTACAATTAGGGAGAAAATAATTAATGCTGCCACCATGACTACTTCCTGACTGCAGCTGCAAACCAAATCCTCAGGAAAGCTTTTTTACTGATGATAACACATTCACTGGAGTCTGGGTGGTGTCGATTCTTCACTCCAAACTTTATGTAACAGGGTCGATACGGTACATGGTGATATATACTGCGATAGTATTGGCACAGCAAAATATTGAGTTTTTAAATTGTAGGAAAACTGTCAGCATAGGGAACACACAATGCCGTTACAAGCATAACATGTTAGGTAAAAAGGAAATAAAAAAAATCACATGTTAGATAAAAAGGTAATAATGAAAATCCATACAAATCTGTACAATATTGATACAGTATCGTAAAAAAATAAAAATTTACCTCATTTCAATGTATCCATGTTTTCTTATGCCCCATCACTAATCGTTCTTTTTGCTAAACATCAACAACTGACACAAAGAAACTAAGGTAAAGGCTCAAAATGTCAGCGATTGGTCATGACTCCCTTTCTTTTTCACAATCTCAAAAGAGAAATGTCTGTCATTTTAGGAATTATTCTATTCAATGAAAAGTGGCAAAATAAAGACCTATCGGCATTAACAAATATTGATATTCTGAAAGTTTCAGGAAATCTTGGGGACAGCTACATCTTTTTGCAACAACTGAATGATCTGGGTCTGTCAATCCTTTGAAAAAAAGTCTGCTGCATGAGAAGAGAGAAATCATATAATGGAGACCAAGGCCCACTGAGCAGCTCAGGTGGTTTTTACAGAGAGGTTCTGTTAATGTTCTGCATGTAGAACTGCAACTGTTGTTCTCAATGGGAAGGAGGAAATATATTTCATTTTGAAATATAAATATATAGAAAATGCCCCAACTTTTATTGCAAATAGGGAGGGGGGTCTGTAAACAAACGGCGCGTGACCACGAAGTGACGCCAGTCCACCATACAGGTAAATAATTGATATGCCTGTGTGCAGGCGCCCCTCAGCTTTGTTTGAATCACAGGAGCCATTGGTGTGGATGGAGGGACACAGCTGCACTGCTGCTGCTGCCGCCGCTCACTGTGTCCAACACACACACTGCCTTATTGAGTTATCTGGTGCTTTTCAGGAGAGTGGACCAGGGATTTTAAAAAAACATTATGTCACTGCCTATCCAGTCCGTACTTATTTATTTATTTATTTATTTATTTATTTATTTATTTTTCTGCAGCGATGGATTAAGTCTTGGTGGATAATCCACAATGTGACAAACGCAGACATCTGCCTCCCTGTCACTCTCACAATTACAGCCTCATACTCAGCATAAAAAGGGTTTAGATGCACAAGGAGCAGCTTGGCTGCAGAGTAACACCGGTTTGTGGAAATTCATGACAGAGACGACCTGATAAATAAAGGGAAGGAGGAAATGCACCACTGATCCCAAGTTTAATATATATATATACACACACATATATATAATAACCCTACCGATTCTTCTTAATTTGAATCCCTGTGTGTCTGTATAGTTTCCATATTTCACGTTGACCAAACAGCTGTTCTAAGTGGCTTCACGACAAACCAAAGACCATCAATAAACAAACAGTGAAGTATAATGGAGGAGAGCACTCCGTCCAGTCTCACTGTGGTAAATAATACGCGTGTGTGCTTGTTCTGCAGCCCGCCAACTCACGCACTCGCACCCTTCCCTTAACAGCACTCCCCCCCCCCCCCCCCCCCCCCCCCACCCCCCCCCCCGAAACACACTCTCCATCACCAGGATCTCTAACCCGCCCGCCTCTTCAAGGCATCTCTGACTACACCCGAAAGGAACCTTTTCATGTTGCATGATGCTGCGAAACCAGAAGCGATGTTATGACACGACACATCACGGATCCCCGTTGTAAATCTGTACAATTTGTTTTTACCTCGTTTGCAGAAAGAGCTGCGTGCGTTCTGCGAAGTAAATCAAGATAAGACGCAGTCTGTTTTGGGATGCTCTCCAATTCGGCTTACATTTACACCCACCACAGACGCTTATATGGTTGCAATTTTAACTTTTATAGCGTTCTCGGGCGCGTATTCCAACAGGCTTTCAATATAAATTAGTGGAACGGGATGTAATGGATACATGGTGAAAAAAACATGCAATAAACGTACAGAAAGCTCCGGCAGCCACTATATATCTAAGCCGAATTAAAACAACCACACGTTCTTGTCAGTTGCTTTTGTTCGATGTCAAATTATGTGCGGGGGTTAGTCATCCGGTAACGTCGGTGTAAAGTCACACACTTTTTCCAAGGGATTTGGCGTTGGAAGGTTATCGCTGCTGCACTTTCACGCGTCGCAGTACTCCCAGTGATTTACAGCACCTCCGCCGACAGATACGCAAAAAAAGTAGTAGAGTGGAGCGAACAAGGGAACAAGTGGAGCGTGCAAAATGTGACTCTTTATGGCCACACGCGAAATAAAAACAGACGGAGCAGACTGCGTGTGCCCGTGTCCTCACGCAACAAGAAAAGAGCAGCGTTTAACTCGAGAGTTGCCAGCTGTGTTGTTGAGGCAAAGCGATTTACAACAGGGAGCTCCTCAAACTCCGGTTCGCTCACAGCAGCAGCGCGTTTGGAGGAAGCAGAGACATCAACTCGCAACTGTGCGTTTATTTCTTTCAGCGCGTCACTTTTACGCACAGTTGGCTTTCTTCCTTGTTGCGGCAGCATCACATCCAAACATGTTCCGCTGCGCACAGTCCAAAAGACATCCTCCAGCAGCTCACTGCTGCTGCTCCGGCTGCTGCGTTCCGCAAAACAGAACCACTTCTCCCCGTGCAGGCGAGGGTTATGTGAGAGGAAAAAACAGGGGCTAAAGTCCTTACCTTTATGAAGAGCCGCTTGAAAGATGAATAAAAAGAGAATAGTCGCCAGAGAGCCGCAGCCAGCGTTCGCCATGTTGGACACCTGCTTCTGTATGAAGAGAGAGAGAGAGAGAGGCTGCTTCACCTACAGCTACAGCGGGACTGCGTTTAATCACATGCATGAGAGAGAGAGAGGGAGGCAGAGAGAGAGAGAGAGGGAGGGAGGCAGAGAGAGAGAGAGAGGGAGGGAGGCAGAGAGAGAGAGAGGGAGGGAGGCAGAGAGAGAGAGGGGGGGGGGGTGGAACTCTTTCATGAAAATAAATAAATAAATAATATATATATATATATACACATCTTTATAAATATTTTTTAAAAACATACTTTTCCTTTTTCTTCCTTTGTTCGACCTTTGTTCGAAAACCTTGCGCGTTTTTCACGGAGGAAAAACCCTGAAATATTTAGAGAAAATAAAGTCAGATTTTACGACTGTTTGTGCATGATGTACAGGGCTAAACCTAGCAATTAAGGAGCCTAGATACGGAGAGGGGTCTTGATAACCTATTACCCCAGTAGTGTTACCCCATTTTTTTAAAGAACACAATTTATTTTAACAATTTCTTCATTTACTTTTATTCTGTCATGTCATGGGTCAAGTAAACAAGTAAAGACAATATTTTCCTATAAATAAATAAAAATTCAAGGGATAACCAACACCTTTAAAAATGATCAGTCTGCCAAACAACATGAAGTAATAATAAACAACAAAACAACATAACAATAAACAATTGAAGCAACTTTCAGCAGGTCAACCCATTAATTCTATTAAGTCAACCAAAGAGAAATTTGCCATAAAACAACTGAAAGTTAGCTCAGATGTCGCTTAAAGTTAGCCATCAAATAGCTTAAAAGTTTATGCAATAAAAAACCAAAAGGCTGATATCATAACAGACAATATTTCCTGAGTCGACCACAAACACATTTGAAGAAAGAAAGAAATAACTCACATGTTCACATGGTAATAAAGAAGCAAATTAAACAATAAAACTCAAACAAAAGATTCCCCCTGTTAAAACAGTTACTTTGGCACCACCACCGCTCTTATTTGACCCTTTTCATGCACCTGAGCAGGAAAACTGACACTTTATTTATCGCAAAGCAGAATGTGTGATTGAACATTCAAACCGACTCATTATGATGAGCTTCAGCTTGGGCTGTAAGTGAAACCACAGGGAGCGTGCATCATAATGTTAAACTGTCAGACGGTATCATACGACGTTGCTCCCAGGCAATGTGTCCCCGTGTGTTTTTGACATTTACGGTGCACCTGAGCCTGATTAAGGCTTAGAACGATCTCTGGTGATCTCTCAGACGGGGGCTACCACCTCATCCCTCAAGACTGTGTCACTGTAGTTAATATACTGCGAGAAATGGGTTTAAATGAAGTGCTTGTTTTGCACTGGTATTAAAAGACGATTAGCCTACTCTGCTCGCGATAAGAAGTCTGTCTTATCTCCTTTATCACGGTTGTGATTAAACAAATCTCATCATGTTAAAAAAAATAGAAAGTAGATAATTGTGTTTTCCAAAAGAAATGATTCAGATAATTCAGCTTCATCAACTTCATCATCAAGTCAGTTAGTAGTAATATGTAAGTTTTGAGTGATATAAAAGAACCAAAAGTGAACTAAAAAGTCTTTGTCTTCTGATGCCTAATCCTTTGCAGCTGGAGTCATCACCAGTTCTACAGTCCAGCCTAAGGCGACCACACACTACAACCTTTAACTCTCATATTCACACCTATGGTCAGTAGGTGTGAATGGTCAACCTAGTCTTATATATATACTCAATACAAAAAGGGATTCAAAACAGTTACCTTTTTGCAGTCCGGCAAAAGCACAGCCCACTCTTTCACTATGTGGCCTGTTTGACGTTCAACCGAAAGCACGCGCACACACGCACACTGTTTCCAAACCAGTGCAATCATCAGCTATTAGTTTCACCTGTTTGACTGAGCGTTAACGCAGTTATCCAATCAGAGAGCAGGAACGTATACAAAGGTATACAAAGCTACTGAGGGTATAACTAAGTATCTGAAAGAAAAAAGAAAAAACAATTCAAAGATATGATAAAGCCTATATATGTAACAGCAGAGGCGCGTAACAAGGTGAATTTTGCACGATATCACCAGATTCACGTTGTGTGGACGCAGCGGAGGTTAGCGCTCAGCTGCAGGAGGGAGAGCACGGGAGTGGCGACGCAGGTGCAGCCCCGGACGAATGTGAGTGGAATTCGGACAGACCGTGTATAAAAGCCGGGCACAGCGCAGGGGCGTACATCATGGTAAAGAATAATAAAGGCTGCTAACTGAGTTTGTGAGAACCGCGATATAGAGAGTGAACACTGTAGTGGAAACAACAACTAATAGTTTACTTTATGCTATGTATTTCTTGATGTTTTCGACTTTCCTTGTCCATTGTGAGTATTAACAATACATCTCTCTGGCGGTTGACTTCTGACCTGGAGTCACCGGTATTGACGTCTAATTGTAATTTGTGAGGTGCGCTTGTTTTATTTTGAAGGTTGGCGGAAGTATTGTGCTGATATCGTATCCATTTTCCGGTGTGGTGCGAGCTTAGCTGTTTTAATTGATGTGGCATCCGCCAAAATACTAAATGGAGTGTTGACACCGTTTACGCAGAGATACTTAAAGAAATCGAAAAAAGAAAAAGAAATTATTTTGATTTTTAAAATAATACTGTATTAAAAGTATATGTAAAAAAAAAAGAAATGTGCGATGAAGTCATCACAGGTGGTGTGTTAAATGAGAATAGTGGAGTGTACGTGTGTTAGGGGCCTATTCTGGGGGTAAGGATAAACTGGGGACCAGCTCATGAAACACATACTGAGGTATGAATAGAGATTGATGACAGGCATGAACTGGAAGTTGACATGGAAGAAAAGGCCAATGGGAGACTCAGGTTGGGGGTGACTATTTGATGAGGCTCCATGGCTTCACCCCTGTGGTCTCAGTAATAAAAGAGAAGGGGCTGAGGAGGAGGGAGCAGAGAAGTAAGGAGTAGAACATACATAATAAAAGCATTCATCTTCTATCTGCAAACAGATGAAAAAGCAGTAGTTTATGTACATAAGTATTAGTTATTAAGGCGCTGTAATTAAAGCTGCAGTAGGCGAGCTCACTAGAGGAATAAGTGGTTGCTGAATGACAGTCCGGCGTTGTTTAATATTAATGTTTGGGGATCAAGGGTATGTATTACGGGCACCTGCGGCTCTGCGAACATGGACTGACAAATGTGGTTCATAAGTGACATGTGACCCAGGGCCAATCTTTTATATCTAAATTTCTGTGTTGATGAAGATACATATTATACACCCTGGATAAATAGAATTTAGAATTTGTTTAACAAAATTTGACAATGATATATATATATATATATAGACTTTATTAAATTACAAAAAAGCTAAAGAAGCCAGATTGAGATGGTTTGGACATGTGCAGAGGAGGGACAATGGATCCATTGGTAGAAGAATGTTGGAGATGGAGCTACCAGGTAGGAGACAAAGAGGAAGGCCAAAGAGGAGATACATGGATGCAGTGAGGGAGGACATGCAGACAGCTGGAGTCAGAGTAGAAGAGGCAGAGAACAGGGAGAGATGGAAATCAATGATCTGCTGTGGCAACCCCTGAAAAAGGGACAAAGCCGAAAGAAAAAGAAGAAGAAGAAGACTTTTCAAACATACCACTTTTTTCTTTGGAAGCACACCTGCTGGACAATAACGGTTCTGCACCCAAAACTACATTTTCAGGGTTCAAACCAAAAAAAAAAAAAAAAAACAATTGCAGGATTTTGTTTGCCTATCATTTTCCCTTTTCTTTAAATTGTGTTTCTTTACTGTATTTCCCTTCCTGTTATTCTTTTGGCTCCGATCAGGATCTCCACAGCCAATTATCTTTCTTTTTCACACCTCATGCCTTTGTCCCTCTCACTCCTGTACGAACCAGGTTATGCCCTCTTCACCAAATCCAGGAATCTTCTCTAGGGTCTTCCTTCCTGTCAGCTCCATGTCCACCATCCTTGGTCCAATATATCTGCAATCTCCTCTCAGCACATGTGCAAAACCATCTCTTGCCTCTCTAACTCTATCTTTAGATGACACTGTCATCTGTGGACACCGTGGTCCACCGAGATTCCTGCATCACCCCACCTGTCAACCTGTCCATCACCATGGAATAAATCCAATACCGATAAAAAAAAAATAACAATCCTAATAAATTACTCTGTAAAGCTCTGTAATGTCGCCCCCTACAGCTTTGCTTCAAAAAAAGAAGCTTCTGACAAGACAAGTTGCTCAAATGTACCAGCTGGAAAATAAAGACACTCCCACTACACAATAGCACACTTATGTTTTTCATACTGAAGTAAGCAGCTGCTCACCAAGGTGCACAGACCACCCAGCTGTCAGCATTGTATATTATAGCACTTTAAGCAATGGGCCACTTTGCCATTGTGGTAGACAAAGTCTGCTCCACCGAGTCTGCTCCATTTGTAATGCTTCTTTTCAGAAACTTCTATTTTTACTGAACACATGGAAAAACATGGAGTGACTGTATTTCTGTTTTGAGAGTCAGATACTCGACACAGTCCTGTTCACAGTCTGGTACTGAAAATTGAACAGCGTGCCTTAAACACACGTGACGTGATCTGCAGAGCTGACTTTTCAGCGGTGCAATTACATGAACTCGAACTGAGAACATAGACTGTGTTTAAAGCAGCGGTGTCCAAATTCTGCATTATTATGTCTTGTAATAACAGTCGAGGACCACGGGACAATACACAAGCCTACAATTATGTCCGGCCTTATGAATGAACTGCATTCCAAAAAAAAATGTTACGTAACTCAACCTGTAATTTACAGGGCTCTTGAGGATAAGACCAGTAACATCACAGAGTAATGTGATGGCTGTTTACACACAAAATGCTACAGAAAATTGTCATTTGAAATAGAGAACCTAAAATAAAGTGGCACAAGAAAGCTGAATTAGCCACATGCAGCTTAAAGTTAGCCACACTGGATTATTTTTTTTTACTCAACATAAGTCTAGGAATACCTTCTTAAAATAAAAAACAATATATATATATACGTATATTTTTTT